GTGTTTCTGAGTGTGTGTGTTTCTGAGTGTGTGTGTCTCTCTGAGTGTGTGAGTGTCTCTCTGAGTGAGTGTGTGTGTCTCAGAGTGTGTGTGTGTCTCTCTGAGTGTGTGTGTGTGTCTCTCTCTGAGTGAGTGTGTGTCTCTCTCTGAGTGAGTGTGTGTGTCTCTGAGTGTGTGTGTGTCTCTCTGAGTGAGTGTGTGCGTGTGTGTGTCTCTGAGTGTGTGTGTGGTGAATGTCTGAGTGTGTGTGAGTTTCTTTATCACTGTGTATTGTGTGTGACTCTCTCTCACTGTGTGTCTCCCTCACTCTGTCTGTCACTGTGTGTGTGTGTGTGTGTGTGTGAGTTTCTCTGTCACTGTGTGTGTGTGTGAAAGTGTGTGTTTCTCTTGTGTCACTGTGTGTGTGAGTGTGTGTGTTCTCCCTCTGTGTCACTGTGTGTGTGAGTGTGTGTGTTCTCCCTCTGTGTCACTGTGTGTGTGAGTGTGTGTGTTCTCCCTCTGTGTCACTGTGTGTGTGAGTGTGTGTGTTCTCCCTCTGTGTCACTGTGTGTGTGAGTGTGTGTGTTCTCCCTCTGTGTCACTGTGTGTGTGAGTGTGTGTGTTCTCCCTCTGTGTCACTGTGTGTGTGTGTGCGTGTGAGAGAGAGAGTGTGTTACCCTCTCTGTGTGTAGCTTTGTGGGTTCAGAGACTGAAACCATTTCTGTAACTCTGAACAAAGTTTGTCATCTTAAGGCGTTTTTAAACAGGAGATCACCAGATTTGGAATGAGAAGTGCCTCAAATCCGCTCTGGTCTGAGGGGAAGTGGTGAGCCTTCAGATTGAGGTGAAAAAATGAGGATATTTTTGCATTAAATGATCTTATAAGTGGGTCTGGGTGGGCTGGCTGTCTACCTCCTGTGCCTGTTTTCTTGTATCGGTCAAGAGGCAGGGAACATTATTGATCAAACTTATTGATTACCGATCCCACCTGAGGACTTTCCTCTTTGACCGTATCTACGATTTCCCCTCCTATCTCTACCCCCCCACCCCACCACCCCCCAGAGTCAGGCTCCGCCACTGTTAAGCGCTCTGAGACGCTGCCCTGCGTGAAAGGAGCACTATAAATGCAGCGACAACTTATTATAATAATAATCCTCGCGCTTGATACAGCATCTTCGAGACGTCTCAAAGCGCTTCGCGGGATATACCGTCAAGTGAATCGCCTGTATGTTTTGTGGGCGAAAATGACAGTTTACACAACGCCTTTCGGGTCGGGAGGAGGTCCCGAGGCGCTGGATTTGGAACCCGAGCTGGGGGTTGGGATCAGGAGGGGGTGGGGGGGGTGACCGAAGGCGCGGTTGGTCGAAGAAGAGGGTCTTGAGACGTGCCTCGGAGGAGGCGAGGGCTGGTGGGGTGGGGGGGGGGTGAGGCGAAGGGACCGTGGGAATGGAGTTCCGGGGGGGGGGGGAGGCAGAGAGGCTGAAGGTTGTTGTCGTCCTGATCGATTATCCCTATTGATTGATTGATTGATTGATTGATTTCCCCCTTAGTGTCAGAGTGTTTGAGTGACAGGAACTTGGTTCAATCCCTTGACCCAATGTAACGGGGGGGGAGGAATCTCCGGTCTGATTGGCTGGGTCGGACGCCGATCACATCCATCAGCCAATCAGGAGCCTGGAAAGGCGGGACAATGTGTGTCCGGACCAATCAGCGTGACGCAGGGGCGGGCCCTGTGCCGGGTACTTCCGCGTTTGTTGCTTCTCGGTCCAAAGTCCCTTTTGGGGTTGAATTGACTCAGAATTTAACCCTTTTTTTGTGAAATCACTGTCATCATCGTCTTCATCATCGTCGTCATCGTGGTCCTCGTCAGCCACGTATTTGATGTGTCGCGTCGCCGCGACGTCCCTCAAAAGCAACACACTGCAAAGTGTAGTGACTGTCTTATTCTGCGGACCAATCGCGACAGCCCATTGCACACGGCGGCGTTCCCAATCCCCCCCCCCCCCCCCCACCACCACACACGCGCGCACGAACAGCCGTGGATTGAAGGGACCAATTTATTATATATTTTTTTATCCGAAGGGATTATTACCCCCGGAAAAGCCATCCATCGATCGACTAACAATTGGGTTCCTATTTGCTGGGAAAACAGAGGCGTGGGTGTGGGCGTGGAGTAAAGGAAATGTCTCGCCCTGTCACGGAATCGAACCCAGGTCCTCTCGCTTGCGAGGCGAGTGCTCTAACCGCTGAGCAACAGGACTCCACTGTTGTCTACAGCTACAGAACAAATTATCTGCCCCGTTTGCATGCAAAATACACAGTCGGCAATAACCTATGAAGCGCTTTAAGACGTCTCGGACGATGTGATAAGGAGCTATGATCAAACCCGAGGATGATTCTAATTTTTTTTCCCTCTGACCAAACATTTCCTGGATTATACCTCTCTCTGGGTTAATACGCCAAATCTCCTCGCCTTTCGCTTACTCTTTCCGTTGATCCTGAATTGAACTCTGTGAATCTGATGATTTTCTTTTGCCCACGTAGTTGTTGTTGTTTGCGTGGGGTGAAAGCGATGTTAAGGAGAGCAAAGCAGAAGCATAGTTGTGTATAGGCATTGATTTTATGGTTCATTGTCCCTTAGATGTGGCCCTTTGAATTTAGCTGATAACGTGAATCAATGAATTAATTCTGTGGTATTGGATCAAACAAAGTCTGGTATTTAAAGGACACACCTTTGAACAACGTCTTTACTATGTCAACATGTCTGGTTCTGCTTGTCTCGTTCTAACGAGTGCTTGATCCTTCTGACGAGGTGTCAATCCGACGTTCTCTCTCTGTCCCCGGCTGGACCTTTAAGGATGCCACACTGTGGGAGAGGGAGGGAAAGAGAAGGGAGTCATTGTGTTAGGAGGACGTCTTCGCAGGATTTACTGTGAAGTGTAATGACTGTGCTTTCTTAGCTCATCGGAAATACGAGCGCTGTGTTTT